AAAGAGCAGAAAGAAGAGAGGAGAAGAGAAGAGAGAAAGACGCAGGAAAAAGTGTCACCGACAAGAACAAGAGAATTGAACTCCTGAAGAGATGTTTGATTGCAAAGCTAGCACGATCACATCATACACTCGCACGGCATCAACCCTTCCCAGACATGGAATCCGAGTATACTGAAAACGCTCTTGATAATTCACATCAATAGAACACGAGCAATCACAGAATTTCGTTTAAAAAAACCGCAATCATCCGTCTTACTCGAATCAAATTCTCAAGAGGCGATGGAAGTCCAGGAGGGATTTGAGGTATTTCTTTGTTGAGAACCTGGTGGAAACATTGATATGGGGAAACAAGAAGGGAGAGGTCCTGTAACCAGCCTGCCCCCACTCTTTCTCCTCCTCCTCCTCTTCCCCCTGCTCCTCCTGCTCCTCCTCTCCCCCTTGCTCCCCCCCTCCGTCTCCTCCATCTCCTCCATGCAGCCTCCTCCTCTCGTCTCTGACCTTCCTCACAATAGGCGCCATCTTGATCCCGTCCCAAGGCTTCACTCCCTGTAACACCCTCAGCCCAACCAGAGGACAAGGGAGAACAAGAGAGGAGGAGACAGGAGGAACAGAAGAACGGATGAAGTAGGAGGATAGAGGAAGCAGAGAGTCAGAGAGGATGATAAAGGAACGAAAAGGGAGCGTGGGGAGGAAGATGTTTGGGGGATGTTACCGAGAGCATCTCGATCAAGCTGCATGCGAAGCTCCACGAGTCCGCCTTGAAGGTGACACCTTGCGAGAGGAGTGATCAGATGAGCGGAGAGAGAGCGAGAAGGAGGGAGAAGGTTGAGGAGCAAGAAGGAGAGGGAGAGGAGGGAGGAAGAGGGAAGGTGTGAAAAATGGAGAGGGAAGGAGAGGGGGAAGGGGGGAGGGAGAGGGAGAGGCAGCGGGAGAGGCAGAGGGAGAGGCAGCGGGAGAGGCAGAGGGAGGGAGTGGGTAAATTGTTCAAGATGCAAAGAATGGGTACCAGTCAACAGTACGATATAAGACAGCGGGGGGCATAACGAGGATGAGAGGGAGGAACAGTGAGGAAGAAGGGGGGAGCAGGGTTCAGGGAGCAGGATACCGCCAAAGAGTTCTGGGTCGAAGGATTCGGGTGACATGTAGTTGAAAGTGCCTTGGACGTTGGATGGCATGTGAACTCCAATAGTCTCTGAAGAGATAGCAGGAGGACAAACGAGCACAGAAGAAGGGGAAAGGGAACATGATGTGGAAGGGGAAAAACAGGAAGCAGGAAAGAGGCGGGAGGGCAAGGAGGAAAATCCACAAGGAGGGAGTAGGGAAGTGGAGAAGGAACAGGAGGAGGACAGTTAGGAGATATCATATGAGCAAATCATGAACAACTCTCTATCACTCTCGATATCCCAAAGTCCGCCACGACACAGTGATCAAGATCGTCTGAAGGTGCTGGTTCAGGGGAAGACAAGGTCAATTCTGCAAGCTTTCCTATCAAGAAGTTGGGAGGCTTCAGGTCCTGCGATCGCCCATGTCATGTCAGACGTGTGCACACAACATGGGAAGTACCTGTGAGATGATATTTTGGTCGTGGAGTTCGGCTACTGCCTTGCAGATCTCCAGCCCATATCGCTGAACTTCCGCGAGGGGGAGCTTTCCACCAGGATATCTGGAAGCAGCCTTGAGCTGAGGTGGAACAACATGCGTCTGCTCTTTCAGCATCACCTTCGCATTCTTGACAACATGCTCTCTCTATACAGCTTCATCACGATGCACATCTTGCCCTGACAGCACGTCATGCTCAACACCAGATGAAAGTCACTTTGACATCTTTGTTCGTCGTCCCGTACACCTGAAAGCATAACTGCTGTGAGTTTACGATCTTCCGCGCAACAAGAGCAGGTCAGGACCTTGCAGACGTTGTGGCAACGGAGAGCAGCCATGAAGAGCACAGCTGTCTCTCGTGTGAACATCAGCCGTTCCTCCTGTAGCAACAAGTCACGGTAGCGCACGGGAGCAAGGCAGGCCACCTCATGAACAGCAGATGGATACTTCTTTACCGCCACGTCATGCTGCCCGCTCTCTTCGTGAAGCGTTCCCAACCAAACCTACGCACAAACATCACAAGCCGCCATGAACAAGCCAACCAACCTCTCCGATGCCTCCCTCGTTCGTGAGAAGCCTTTTCAGCTGCACTCGCTCGGGCTTAATATAAAACTGGTCGCGATCCATGATCTTGTGGTTGCCGCTGCTTACTGCTCAAGCCCTTTCACTCCCCACGCATGGCATCGCCTACCAAAATGTCAGTCGCAACGGGGGTTTAGGGGGTTGACGAAGATACAGTTACACACTGCTCGTTAGCACCCCATCTTCCTTCCTCCCTTCATCTCCTCATAACCTCACCATCTCTCCTCCTTCATCTTTCGTCCTTATCTTCCCCTCACTCTCCCCTCTCCCCTCTCCTCTC